GGCCCGCGTGCGGGACCGGGGCCCGGCAACGGGATTGCAAACCCCGGCGTTGCTCCCGCGCCTTGCTCAGCCAGTGAGCGGGAACCGGTCCGTATGTGGGATCCGAACCCTCGGGCGGGAGCGCCGCCGCGCTTCCCAAGCAGCGCACTATCTAGTGCGCCACCGGGCTGGCCCCAGTCCTCGTTTTTTGAGATTCATTCATTCACTTAAAAATGAATTGAGCATCTAATATGTGCTAGGCATTACTCTTGGTGCTGGGGATATAGCTGTGAACAAAACAGACAAAACTATCTACTCTTATGTGGCTTACATATTAGTGTAGAGCTTATTTTCTTTATGTACATGGATCTAGTTCACTCATTTTAATCTCTCTATGGTAGTCCATTATATAAATAATATTTCCCTTCCCAATTTCCAGTTGTCATAAATGCTATTCACCAATATATCTAGCTCAACCTTCTTTGAGCACAAGGTAGATTATATTTCCGGGGCTCCATATGTATGGGTTGTGCCATGTGACTGTTTCTTCCCGGTAAGATGTGAGAAGTGATGTGTATCATCTGTGGGCTTAGCATTTAGTTTCTAGTGTGGGTCCCTCCACGGTTTTCTTATTTTCCCTTGGTCATGACAAATGGAAAGTTTCAAGATGATGTCCTGATTAACTTCAATGGAGCAGAACTTTCCTGCCAACCTATTATGACTATATAACCCAAGTAAGTTTTAAATCATTGTTTTAAGCCACTGAGATTTTTGTAGTGGTTGTTACTACAGGATAACTATGCTGAATGATATTATGAGGGACATTTGGTATGTTTTCTGTTATTTGCTATGGCAGATAATGGTGCAGTAAATATCCTTGTTCATGTCTCTTTGGATTCACATTCAAAATTTCTTGAGAGTGGTGCTCTTCAAATGTTGCTATGCACATGAATCACATGGGGATTAGTTAAATGTAAATTCTGACTCAGTAGGTCTCAGGTCATTCCTGAGATTCTGCATTTTCTTCCAAGATTCCAGGTAATGTCAGTTCTGCTGATCTAGGATTTATACCTAGAGGGAGATCAGCTAGATCAAAGAAAGGGTATCCATGTCTTTAATCTTATTAAATACTGTTCTCCAAAGTGATTTACACATTTACATTACCACCAGCATTTTATGGGAGGTCCTATTACTCTACGTCTTGTAAGATCTATATTGTCAAACTTTTTGATTTTTGCCAGCCTGATGATTGTGAAATGATAGATCACTGTTCTGCGTTTTCATTTCTTTGATTAGATTACTAGTAAGACTGGTTTTTAGGCATTTGGGTTTTCTTTCATATGCTTTGCCTATTTTTCTCTTAGGTTGTCTGTCGCTTTCTTTTTCATTCATAGGAATTCATTATGTACTTTGGATGCCTTTTCCTGTTACGTGCTGCAAATACTGGCTTCCTGTGCATGGCTTATCTATTAACCTTGTCCAGTTAGTAATTTTTGCTGTATTAGTTTTAAGTTTTGATATAGTCAAATTTACATTCTCAAATTCAGTATAAATAAATGTGTCTTTTTCCTGAACCATTTCAAAGTTAGTTTCTAACATGATGCACTGTCATTCCCAAATACTTTACTGTGATTTCCTACAGACGAAGATATTCTCCTGTGCAACCACAATGAAATACAGAATGGAAATTAACATTGATATATTACTAGCATCTAATCCTCATACCCAGTTCAAGTTTTGACACTTATCTCAGTCATGTTCTTTATAGTAAAAGAATCAAGTTTAAATCACATCCTACATTTAATTGTCATGTGTCTTTAATGTTCTTCAGTCTGGAATTATCCTCAGTCTTTCCTTGACTTTCATGACCTTGTCATTTTTGAACAGTACAGGCCAGTTATTTTGTAGAATGATCTTGCTTTTTTAAAAAGGTCTCATCTGACAATGTTTTTTACTTGGACTGTTTAGATCTTTTTACATTTAATGTAATTATCAATATATGAGATTAAATCTACAGTCTTTTAATTTATTTTCCATTTGTCCTATCTGTTCTTTGTTTCTTCTTGTTATTCCTGCCTTCTTTTCAATCAACTGTATTTTAGGATTTCATTTGATCTTCACTTATAACTTATTGTCTATACCTGTCTATTTCTGTTACTTTTTAAGTGGTTGCTTCTAGCTTTATAATGATATCTTTAACTTATAGTGGATCTTTAAATAATATTATATCAAATCATATACAATGTAAGGTTATTATAACAATATCTTTCCATTTTCCTTCCCTTCCTAGTGTTATTGTTGTCATAGATCTTATTTCTAAATGTGGGATAGTGCCCACAATACATTTTCATTTTTGCTGTAAACTTTTTACCTTTTAAAGAAATTATGAAATAAGAGAAAATGTCTTTTATATTTACTCAATTTACCACTTCTGGCACTTTTTATTCCTTTATTTAGATCCAAATTTTCATCTGGCATTATTTTTCTCCCCTGCTTAAAGAACATCCTTTAACA